CAACAACAACAACAACAACAACAACAACAACAACAACAACAACAACAACAACAACAACAACAACAACAACAACAACAACAACAACAACAACAACAACAACAACAACAACCACAACAACAACAACAACAACAACAACAACAACAACAACAACAACAACAACAACAACAACAACAACAACAACAACAACAACAACAACAACAACAACAACAACAACAACAACAACAACAACAACAACAACAACAACAACAACAACAACCACAACAACAACACAACAACAACAACAACAACAACAACAACAACAACAACAACAACAACAACAACAACAACAACAACAACAACAACAACAAACCAACAACAACAACAACAACAACAACAACAACAACAACAACAACAACAACAACAACAACAACAACAACAACAACAACAACAACAACAACAACAACAACAACAAGGTGTTCCGATATACATATATATATATATTACATGCAGTCAGGATTGCGTGGGACTGTTTGTGTTTTTTTTTTTTTTTAAATCGCGGAGGCAGCTGAACCTGGCGATGTGCTTGGCCCAAGCCTTCGTGGCCTTCTTTACGGCGCCCTCGGAGTCGTTGGGGGCGAGGTTTGGGAGCCGAACACGGGTACCTCAGAAGCTGGTGGAATGGGGAAAGCACCTCAAAAGGTGCCAAGTGCATGTTATGTTTTTTGGTGGTTGTTGTTTTTTTGTTTAGGCGCCAACTCTTTTGAGCTGTCTTTTGACCTTGTTTTTTGTTTTTTTTAAGTGGGGAACCAGCTCAAGAGAAATTGGATGAATCTTCCCTTGAGGATGTCCACCATTTCGAAATGGTCTTCTATTGAAATCACACCCGCTCCCAGTTGCCCAGTGGGTGGCTTCCTTGTTTCCTTTTTTTTGGAAAGGATGCCGGTCCCTTTAAAGTCAAGCAACCAAAAAAGGTGCCGTTTTTTGGCCATGGTTGGTAGTTTGGAGTGTTTATTTTTTTTTTGGGGGGGTGTCGTAAGCCATAGGTAGCCCTTGGTTGGTGGCTTGGTGGGCAGGCTCCCTGGGCATTCAATTGCACGCTCCCTGGGCACGCATTCACTGCCGAACCTAACCTATTTGCACGGATTCTCAGGGTATTATGGGGGTGCCCCTGAGTTTAGTATCGGGGTCAACATGAACCCTTAGTTGCTGGTTTGGAGTGTTTATCGTTTTGTTGGGGGGTGGTGCAAAGAAAAATGACACCATGGATGTGTCTTGGGGATGGAACGCAATTTGCCATGCAGTCATCCAGAGATTGACCTTCGGATTGCATCGCCGTTCCTTCTTTGCCTCAAATGAGTTTTAAGTTTGAACTTTATAAGTTTTTAGAATTGGTGTCGAGCGTCATGCCAGCCATGAGCAGCGTCTTGGCGTTGGCCTGTTTGCCGGCCTTCTGCCTGTGCCAGTTCACCTCAAGTTGGAGTTGTGGATGCGATGGATCATATGACGTGTGTTCCAGGGAGTATTGCTACCACTCCTCGACGTGCGGCTCTTTCAGGAACAAGGCTGGACCCACAGCGAATGCAAGCAATACTGTCAGCAAGCCCACCTTGAAGTCTTTCAATACGAGCCTGAAGGCGAATTGGAGCGCGGTGCCCAACAACAGATCAGGGTCTCGCAGCACAACTGGACTCAACTGGGACTGCAACTGTGACTTGACTGCTATTGGGTTGGATCTTTAGACTTTAACTTGGTTGAAATCAAGATGGGGTTTCCACTAAACCCTCCAACAAGTGATCATTTTTTTGCAGGGTCGTTGCAGCAACCAAGGTGACTTCGGCTACTTTTATTGCAGCTTTTCGTATTGCTACAAGCACTGCCGTGGCGTGATCGAAGTCCCGGATGGCGGCCACCGCCGCCGAGAGGGAGGCCGTCGCCGCGGCACCATCCCTGGCGCAGTCGGGGACATCCAAGCTGGACGCCCAGCGTCGTTGCCCCGTGTACAGCTTAGCGACTCCCTTCCCGAATTGTTGGACTCCAGTGAAAATTCGGGAAGACCATTTTGGTGGTAAACAAAAAGTGTGGTTACTTTTTTTTGTCCGCCATTCAGGAAGTGGGAGGGAGCAACGGCAATGTTAAGTTTAAAGAATTCGACTCTGGCTCGAAGGCAGCCAGGATCGTCACAGCTTGCTTCCATATTTCCCCTGCATGTTGGTTTCAAAGGGAAACTACAACTACAATGTTGTTGTTTTCCACGTGACTTAAGAATATGGAGGCTTGTGAATTTTGAGCTACAGCGGCCGCTACAGCGTTTGACCTATCACAAGTTTCGAGCTTGAACGAGGCAGTGCTAAAATGGGCGCAAGACACAGTTGGAGAGCCTCTTTGTCTGGGTCCCCCAGCAAGGTGCTCTTTCTCACCCCTTTTTTGGTTGGGCAACCCTTATTCTAACCTCTCTATTGGAGGACCTAGTCGTGAATTGGTTGAAGAGAAGCAACAATCGTACCCAAAAACCAAGCCGTGTAAAGGGGCTGGGGGCTCTAAGAGGTCACATGACAAATGAATCGCTTGCCGCCCTTACAACTCCCGCAAGCAATTGGAATTGATCAAACCCGCGTAGACTGGGTTGTCGAGAAGCTGTGGAATGCCTTGCTGGACAAAGAAGCCTCGCTGAATTACCAAATTCATTGTGCCTACCAACACTATCTATTCTTGTTGTTTCTCGTTTGTCTTTTTGTGGCTGGTAACTGGTCTTAAGAGGCCTGACGTGCAGGACCTGACGTGGATTGGCATGGCGTGCGTGTTGTTTGTGAGGGTACCCCTTTGTTTGGGTTCCCTTCAGCAGCAACACTCTGGCTGCACCTCCCAACCATTGTCCTTCTATTTGGAAAATTGCCCAAATCCTACAGACTCCCAAAATGAAGCCTTATCGGGGTGGCCGGGGGGGGCGGAGAGGTTTGATTGCTTGCTCAATCTCCGGGCCAAAGATGTGACTGTTCCAGGGGTCAGTTAAAAATGTCGTTCCTTTTGAGCTTATTGGAGCCACATGGGGTCAACCTGGAGGGAAGACCAACCGAACTGAGTCTTTTAGGTACTGCGGTGGTTGCACATCGACAACGTCAACGGCCTGCGGTACTTGGGCTATGCCTTCACCTGCTCACTTATGCAGGAGATCTCCGCGGATTTCGCCCGACTGGCTGTCAGCAGAAGGGGTCGCTGCTGCGTTGTTTAACAGTTACATTTCTTACAAAAAAACAATCAATGAACTCAAATGGAAAGCACACACACAATCCACATCAAAGAACCAATAAAGCCGCAAAACAAAGCACATAAACACAAGATTGCAACTCCCGAGGGGGCCTGCAATCTTGCTCCTGTGTTCTTTTGTTTCCCGGTTTTGTGCATTGGGCCTAGACTCCAGAAAACCTCGCCAAAGCCACACAAGTATCCTTATACTGGCTTGGTCACTTCTCAGCACGCTGAGCTGTTTGCGTTGCTTTCTGCACGAAGCCATAGTAAGTACATGTTTACGCTTGCTGCCGGGAAGCGTATTTCTCGCCAAGTCTTGCTTGCCATCAGTGCAGGGAGTTCGTTTCGTGTGGCTGACACGGGCGACTCGTCCGTGAGGGCCATAGATGCCCACAGAGCTCACATTAGGCGTCCTCCACCAGGCAGCATGAGTCCGTTTCGCACCTATCAACAGCTGCTGCTCTGAATGAAAGCCTGGGAGCGGCCAAAGATTCTCAAGATGAGAAAAAAAAGCAAGCAAAACCAACTTTGAGTCCTCGAATCACTTGTCACTATGATTTTCAGATGACACTTTGAGTCCTCAAATTTGATTCTCAGATGTCAGTCACTTCTTCCGATTCCTCCAACCCACGGCAAGATTTGCGCCCTGAAGCACTGCCTACGTACAAGCAGGAGGCACCTGTGTCGCCGGCCAGGCCCGAGGCCCCGTTTGGGCGACCAGTTCAGTCGCGAATTTTTCCGGAGTGCTGACAAGAGGAAGGCGCTCGGCATTTCCCACTCTTGCGGGGTGGGAGTTTCTCCATACAGCATGGCGGGGAGATGAAGGCGACCTGAAGCAGCTCCGATGGGATCCGCAGCCAAGTCATAGTGCGAAGGAAGTCCCACCGAATGGAACGAGAAACTTTTGTTCAGAGAGGGAGTGGCTCATCTACGACTCGAAGAGGGCACTGAAGCAGGTCTTCCCATCCCGGACTTTTCACGAGGCTCGCCCGACCATGCTTTCAGGTCAGGCGGTCAGGCGCGCTTCTTCCGCGGCTTGGGCTACTTGCCTGCGGCTTATCCTGCACCACCTACGAAACCCTGGAACGATTCGATTCTCCTGTAAATACCAACAAACCTCATGGTTTCCACTACTTTCAAAGTGGTTCGAAATAGATTTCGCAACCATCCACAGTATGCGCTTCTTGCTGCAGTCCCGCGCCCCTCCCGAAGGCGCGTGACTCAGTGCACTTGAAGGCTTTGGACCCGTGCTAGCCCTTTGCCCCCTCTTTGGCCCAGGTTGCCTTGAGCCGTTGCCCCTCGCCCATGGGGCTGCTATCTGGAGGAAAAAAGTTTCCCGTGCCCTCCCTGGCCAGGACCAGGTAGGAGGCCACCTCTTTTTTTTCCGGAGCCGATGGCGCCTCCATCAGCAGAATCTTGTTTTCCAGGAGCACGAACTCTCCCTTCAGCAAGTTTTTGCAAGGTCATATGGCACGCTCCATCCAAGCGGCCGTCGATCCGGACTCTCAAAAAGCCTGGTTCAGCTCCATGCATGGCTTCTCGCCTCCAGTTTCCACGACGAAATCCTGCACCACCTAAGAAACCCTGGGATGATGATTCCTCTGTAAATACCAACAAACACTGGCTTCCAATGGTTTGAAAGTGGTGCAGGATTTCGTCCATCCACAGTAGGTGTCCTTTTTGGTTGTTTTGGTCAAAAAATAGATGGCACTGGTTTACCTGGTGGTTTAATCATCTACCAGGGAAACCCATCTATTTCCCCTAAAAGGACACCTATGCTCCTGGAGGTTCTCCTGGTTCGCCTTGACGAGGCCTTAGTAAGTCCTTCACGTCGTTTTTGAGGAAAGGGCAAGCTGGGTGCGGGGAGGGAGCTTGGACTCCAGGCCGAGCTGGTCGTTTTGATCGCCCCCTACGTGCCATGCTACAAGATCAACGTGGTGTTTGTGGCGGCTACGGCAGCATTTGGATGTTTCCACCAGCATTGGGGCTTACTCTGGGGGACTAAATCATCAGAATTAGGTTCTGGGGCATTTTGAAGCCTTATTAAGTCATTCTCATCATAGGAGTTTCATGTGTGTGTGTGTGTCTTCATTCGGCGTTTGAGATTACGTGTGTTCCGGATCGCAACCATCCACTCGTTGAAGCACCCAGGAACCCGATTCTGGACACGTCAAGGGCCGTTCGGACCGCCAGATTTTGTGTTCCTTTTGTTTTCCCGGTAAGCCAAGGTGAAAAGGGCATCCTCAAAACAAGCACACAAACACAAACACAAGCACACACAGAATCTCACGCACCACACACATTGTTGCAGATGGAGGTTAGAAGCTTGAACGCGGATGAGTACATACCACACGCTGCCCGTTCCGGCAAGCTTCAACATTGTTCCTTGCCCACGGCAGCTCAGTGGGTTCCACCCGAGTTGTTTTCCCCTTTTTGTGGGTTCCAATATGTTTACTTTCCCTTGTTGGTTTTAAAAGGAATTCATCACTACAGGAAAGTTTGTTTATTGTGATTGTTTTCCTGGTATCTTAACCAAATGGAAGGTTCGGGACCTGTTGGAACGGAATCAATTGAGGATGGGTTCCAATTGTTTTTGAGCGGGATCATTGAGTGTGCCCGCTCTTGGGGTCTTGAAGCTTGAGCAAATAGCCATCAGATGCGGAGAAAGCACGAAGGGATGATACGTGTTGCCTTGATGTTTTTACATGCCCGGTTTAATTACATACCCCTTGAGTAATGGGCCGGGCTGGTGGTTGGTCATGCTGCGTACCATAGCATTCCCTCTCCCCAAGAAGAGGTACATGCACACTGCAAAGTGAGTTGGTACAACTCATAGATTCTCCCCGACAAGGATTCCACTTTGTGTTTCTCTCGTTGGATCAAACTAGCCGATGGATCGTTCCGGAAACAAACCAAAGTCCCGCAAACCAGTAGCAAATCGTGATAAACCAATAGCAAATCGTGATACACCAGTCCATGCCACTTCCAGATAAACCCACAAGTGTGACAGTTCAGTTGTTAGCTTTGCAACTGGGTCAAGCAGGCTTTGTGTGAACAGGCAAAGGCTGCGGGTCAAAAGCACTGGTACCATTTTGGGGTAGGTGCACCGCCCATTTCAGGACCTGTTTGAGTGGGGATTGGGATGTTCCCTGAGGGTACGATTTGGGTTTTGACCCATGGCCAAAGGAACCTCAGGCAGGCTTTTGGCCTGCCAGAATGTCAGGTGCTTTCCTCCACGCATGCTAGGTCGTACAGGCTAAAACTTGCACAGGATGATGGTCTTCCGTGATGTTGGCTAGGTCCTCCAGTATTGCCCTTTTACCCTTTTTTGGTTGGGAGGGTTCCCCTACTAAAATAGACTACAGGAAAAACAAACACTCGGGCACCCTTATTCTAACCTCTCTACTGGACCTAGTTGGGCAGATGAGTCTACGAATGATACTCACTCCCTGAGTTCCTGGACTTTGGACGACCATTTTAGTGGGTAAATGACAAGTTCAGACGTTTTTGGGGCCAAATCCACTCGATCGGAAGCCATTCTTTCCAGGGATCCGAATCTTTCCAGAAAACCATCACCCCAGATGAAACAGCGATCGGTTTGGAAAATAAGGACGGTTGAAAATAATGGAAAAGGAACGAACCCCTAGCATTCCAGCCAGGTCTGCAGTGACCCCTAGAATGAACCGCTAGAACAGGGGGCCGACTGCCCGTTCTTTTCAACCATCGCAACAACCGGCCGTTCCGAACGATTCCACGTTTCTGGAGGTGATTTTCACCCACATCTGGCTGATCTTGGGCTGGATCGGCTCGCTCCAGGAGGGCTTCCTGTTTGAGGACACCGGGAAACCTCATTTTGGGGAGTTGGGCCATTGCTCTAGAAGGATTTCGAGTGGAGGAAGGTTAGCAATTTCACTTCGCATAGTTCTAGGGGTCGATTCCAACCATTCTTTTCAGCCATTGTTCTTTTCAAAAACCAGCCATTTCCCCAGGTGTTTGCTGGTTTTCTAGAAAGAAGGATCCCTGGAAAGAATGGAATTGGAAGTTGCCCCTAAAGAAAATGGGACCTGCCCAATTTGGGCGGTTTTACTGCGTCCGGTTCAACCAGCCCCAGATCCTTCAACATGGTTTTTCCCAGGGCGTTTTGCTTTTTTTTGCCGGGGCTGGTTTTTTTTTGCCGGGGCTGGTCGGTTCGTCGGTTGGTCGGTCGGTTGATTGGCGACCGGACTAAAGGCCTCGGGTTTGCTTCTGATCCGGGGAGGGGGCGCGAGTTTTGGGCCGGCCCAAAACTGGAGGCGATCCAAACGCTCAGCGGCAAAAAGGGGTGGCAAAATCCCAGGAACGGATCAGTCAAGGGGAACCAACACGAAAGCACAGCGAATTAGAAGCGCACCTATGCCAAATATTGCCCCCCAAGCGAAGCCCAAACGCACCCAAAGTCAACCCTGGATGTCAGCCCTGTGTTGAGCCGACATCGACCCCAAAGCAACCCAAGATCCACCCTCAGCAAGTCCTAAGCCAATCAACTGCCACTCAATCAGAGCCAGGCAGCCTTAGGTCCAAGTGACGCCTGTGTTGATGGGAAAGACCGGCGGGAACAACCTGCGCTAGGTAAAAAAAAAAAGCAACACCTCGACCAATTCAAGGTCAGAGCCTAAGACAAGCCCTGAAGATCCTGGATCTTTTTTGAAAAGCGGAATAGGGTGAGCCTCCACCTCCCTCCATGTCAAGGTGAGGGGGAGGTCCATTCCATTTGTGGTTTAGGGAGGTAAGATCGCGCGGCCACTTTCTACAGGCATTCCCTTTGCAGCGAAAAAGGTATGTGTGTGTGTGTGTTTTTGTTGGGTGGGTTAACCTTTTCTTGGGGTTGGTTGAAAGGGAAACCAAAAGGAAAGCCAAGATCCATTTTTCGGTGTCGCCCTGTTTTGACACATACCCATATGGCTGTGGGTGAAAAGCCCGTACCCCCGGTGAACATCCCAATCCCCACTAAACTAGACTAAAATGGGTGGTGAATTCACCTACCAACCAAAATGGGATCCCATTGGTTTTGACCCCACAGCCGTATATACACGCATGAAGTAGTTAAGAAGAATTCAAGAAGCAAAAGGTAGATCATGGGCGGGGGAGGGTGACCATATATATATATATACACATATACATATATATATATACACATATATATATATATATATATATCTCGTGGGGATCTGAAGCCTTCGGATTTCCAGGACGCCAGCTGGAACTCCTTCTTGGCCACCGGGGAGTGGCAGGCGGCGATTGGGGTTTCACCACTCAAACAGCGGTTTCGCCACAAAAGGTAGGTAACTCGGTCCCCCGGCTAGGTGCCCTGTCTCACCCCGTTTTTGGTTGGGAGGGTTCAATTCCCTACTAAAATAGACAAAACCGAAAAAAGCAATCGGGTAGCCTTATTCTAAGCTCTCAAATCTGGAGGACCTAGCAGGTAACCAGCTATTGTTTCTTTGGCTTTTTACCGGGCGAGACACAAGAATGGGGAATTGGTATAGATAGAGTAAGGATCACAGCTTTTTGGTTGAAACTCGGGTTTTCCGTATTGGACTGCCAGAAAAACGAACACTTTTTGCAGAGGTCTCCGCCATCCACGACCCATCCACTGGACTCTCTATGACCCTGTAAAAATGGGGTCATTACCCAACAATTAACAGAAGGGCCCGCCATGGGGCCTGCGTTTGTGAAATACCTGAAAATCTCAGAACAAGACGCATCAGTACACCAGGACATGTGACCCAAACCTCTCAACATTAAAGGGTTATGACCAGGTGTCATTTTTGGTTGGTTTGCTTAAAGAATACAGGGCCCTGGTTTAGATGGGGTTTATTACATTTACCAGGGAAACCCATCTATTTTGTCCAAAAGGCCACCTATGGTCACCCCTTTTCCTAGGGGACAGACTCAGACTCTAGGCACGTCCTCCCACCCGATGTCCTCCGAATGCGCTGCATGCGCCTCTTCGTCCTCACGCCTCACCTCTTCGCGCAGGCCCTGCAGGTCACCAGCAAGGGCATCTTCATCGGCATCACCGCCTGCGGCCGCTGGACAAATCTCACCGACAGACCCTTGTGTATCAAGACGAGGGTTTTGTTTCCTAGTGTTTGCGGGGATTTAACACTGGAGGGGAACCTTTTCTATTCATGGGACGGGTTTATGAATCCGGGGTCAACATTGAAGGAACAAAAACTCAAAGGCAGATCCATAAATGAACAGATGACCATTTGGGACTCTTTGGGGGGCTGATTTCCCATACTTAAGCCATGACTAACGGTTCCTGAACCCATGAACGAGGTTCGCAGCCTTCGCGTCTTAGCCATTTGCGATGTCGGGTCCTGGACCCATTTGGAAGCGATCCTCACTCAAAGGGCTTGGTGAAGGAACCATCAACTTCCTGTACAGACTGCCAGTCGGGAGCTGGGAATCCGAACCCAACACCGTCAGTTGGGCCCAAGGCTTGCTTTTTGACAGGACATGACGTTGAAAGGGCGTGGGTCGAAGCATTTGGATGGTTTTGCGTTGAAAACTTGCTGGTGCTCAGTAGGGGGGGACCCAGGGTTTTGTGAATGAACCGATTCCATCAAAAGAAATCATAGGGGTCATTCCCTCATTTTCTGCTGAGAACCAGCAAGAGAAAAAACACCCGCTTCCAATCCTGTTGATCATAAGGCTTTTTTTTGTTTTGCAAGGTTCCGGTTTTGTCTTGGGAGACCCTGCCCAGTCTCTGTAATTTCTATTGGGGTTCCCTTAAACTAACTTCCCCATTCTTCAAGATTTACAACTTTGTGGGAGGATCAAGCTAGCGGTAAACAACGTGGTTGGACTTTCTGCCCAGTCCACTCATGAATTCAGTTCAAACCAACGACTCGAAGGGTGTCCTTTCATTCCCGGTGGAAACAATTGGGCAAGACAAAAGTGGATCTGATTTTGAAGCAGGCTTGGCTTTTTTTCACTCTTTGAACACACACACACACACAGACGGGGTCTCGGTTTCTTGTTTTTTGGCAACGGACGTCTGATCCCGGCCCTGGGGGCTTCAAAAAAACACGACCCAGCTGGGACTAAAAGGCACCTTTCAGGGAGCTTGGCGCAACCGGCAACCGCCGGGCGGTGGGGAACAGCGAGCCATTCTGAAAGTAGATGAAACCACGGGGAATCCATTCAATGAAGGCAACAGCTAGCAGCTAACTCCCTGTTCAGTTGTTTTTGTTGGGTGATCGAGGGAATCTGTTCCCTTTTTGGGCAACTCATGATAGTTTTGATAATTTGAAGGGTGAGCTTGCCAACTCGCGGATAAAGCGAGTGATTCCACCCAAGATTGAGGTTTCTTGCTTGCGTCCCTGCTTGAGGTTTCGATTTAGGCTGTGACTCCTCCAAGTGGTGGGAGGCTTCCTTTTGGTTTCCATCCAAACAAAGGACCCCTTAGAGACACATCCTTCTCGGAAGCCCGCCCCCCCCGAGGCATTGCCAGTTTGCTCTTCATCCAGATGCCAATCTTGGCTGCCGTGTACATCTGCAAGGGCTGCTGCAGGATCTCTGGAAAGCAAAGGTGGGAGGGAAGGCTGATTGTGTAAACCCAAAGATGAACCCATGAGCATCCATTTGAGGTTCGGTTAAAATTACTGCTATGGATAGACAAAGTCTATTTTGCGCCACCGTTCAGAAACCTCGGAATGATGTTTCCCCTGTAAGGTTTCCCATGATTTCAAAGTGGTGCAGGATTTCGTCCATCCACTGTAGTTTGCACTTAGTTAGCGCTTGTGGCTCGATTCCTTCCAGTGGTTTTGCTGTTTCGACCGATTTCCCCGGTGGCCTTTGCTACGGTGTGGAACATTGTGGTCATGCCCGTCGTACTTAAATGCCCCAGCTGGTTTGCGGCTCAGTTCACAGTCCCAATGCGCCTGGACCTTTCACTGCGCTTCGGGTTGAGAGTCGTTCGCTGTTCTGTCGCTGGCAAGGAACAATTGAGCCACAATCAAAACCGATTCGGGTAGATGAAGGTTTGTAAGGGACAATCCCAGCCATAAATAGTTGCGGCCGCCTTTGTATTTCCTTACATGGTTCTGGGTCAACCATTTTATTACCGGGTTTTGACTCTGACTCAATTGACGAGGGAGGGATACAACCAGATCTTCTGGGTGATGTCCACCCAGTGGCACGCGCCAGGTGGTGTTGTGGGTGGAAAATTTCGTGCAGAGTCCGGTGGCGCCTTCTGTGATGGACAGGATAGGCGAACAAGTAATGCTGACCACGCCTCATCTCCGACCAGCAGTTGCCCAAGCCAGAAGTAGTGGCTGGTGAACCAATCAACTAAGGGTTCGTACTGGAGTTTATACATTCAGCCTTTGAGGGGAGGGAAGGGGTGAGGTCACAGGGCACAGCAACCTCACCCGCGCACCGCGAAACTCGTATTCAGGTTGGTCCGTTGGTGACTTGTTCATGCGACCATTCATGGCTTTGTCACTCGAAATGTTGGAACCCCTTTTTGGCCCTCCTTTTGGGCTGCGCTTAGTTGTGCCTCTAGGTCCCCCAGTAGTGCCCTTTCACCCTTGTTTGGGGGAGGGTTCCCCTACTAAAATAGACAAAACCGAAAAAAGAGGTACCCTTATTCTAACCTCTCTACTGGAGGACCTAGGCCTTGTTGGGTTTCACGTTGCCATTTCACCCGAAGAAACGGCTCCTGGCTTGAGCTCAGGAAGCATCCAGACCTGCCGCCGCACTACCTGCGGCTCATGGCCACCGTGTGGTTCACCTGGCCGGCGTGGTTTGGCGATAATCTCGAAACCCAGCCCCAAGAAAAGCTCTCAGAACCCGATTAAATAGAGGAGCGGTATTTGTTTAAAGGATGATTTTTATTTCCTTTTTGATGTTTTACTGGCCAAGAAAATGAACGGGAAACACAATCAAACAAAATCCCCGGAATAGATCTGCACCGCCAGACGTTTGCCTAGCCTTATTTTCTGTCTGTCCCCTTTTATTCAGCAGCACAAATTATTTACACCCCCCCCTCTCCTAATCCCTTCAGGCCCCCTCTGGTCCTTTCCTGTATGGACCCCTGTCTGGCCAATAGGACTACAGTAGGAAAGCAAAAGGAACTTGCATTTTGTGATTATCCAGGACTAAAGAGGGCCAGGATTTATCAAAGGGTCTTGTGTTGTCCGGGGGGCGCTGCCCTTGCAAGGCGTGCTTACCAGCTTGTCAAACCTGGGAGCATGTGCTGCTTCCGGCTCGTTTCTACTTTTGGATCCGCAACCCTTGAGACTCCGAAAGGAGTGAGTCTTGGCAAAAGTATTGTCCATAGCTTTGGTAGTTTATATTGTTTTTTGGATCAAGACGTCCGGAAGGGGACGTCTTGAATCAGGGGGCGTTCCGGGAGGTTCTTCAGTGAGGTCTTTTGGCCAAACCTGGGTGCCTTTAAAGGTGTGGTGCCTGGCAGTCAGTGTGGGTTGGTTAATGCCCGGCGGTTCCCTTTTCAAGCCCAGATTCGCGCGGACGGACGCTCCTGTTTGGGTTCAATGCCAATTTGCAAGGGAATGGCTGGTCGTTGGCGTGACCGAATTCCTGAGTCCTTTTGGAAACGAATCTTTTCTCGGCTTTTTTAGTGAGTTTAAAAAAACCAACGTCGGACCTTTTGCTCGCAACGGAAACGGCTTGGGGGCGTGGAGGCTATCCTCTTCTTTTTTTAAACCTCCTTAAGAAGGCCTTATTAAGGGCTCGTCCTTGGCTTATCCTGGAAGAATAGCCCCCAACCGCCCAACATGGCCCTTTTGCTCGACGGCAACTCAGGTTGATTGGGGGGAGACGATCCTGTGACACCATCTCAAAAGGGTATCATTGGTGGCTTATCTTCTCGGATAGCCCCCCGCCCCGCCGCCCCGCCCAACATGGCTCCTTGAAGGGGTCCATGAGTGGTCCACTTGTTTTTGTTTACTCCTTTAAGAAGGCCTTGTTCAGAGCTTGTCCTTGGCTCGATTGGGGGTTTGGGGGGGAGGCAATCTATCCTTAACCTCTCATAGCCCCTTGATGACTAGATAGCCCCAACTGCCCCGCCCAACATGGCCCCTTGTTGAAGGGCTTGTCCTTGGCTTATCCTTAAAAAAAATAAAAAGCCCAGGGTTGTGGGATCAAGGGGTTTATCCCCACTTCTGTGACACAAGGGAATCCCCTCTTTAAATGGCGCGGTGGTCTTTGGGGGACCTTTTTGTATCACAGAAGTTTCCATTTCCCACAGCCCCGAAGTAGCCCCCGCGGCCCATGGCCCCTAAGGGTCGACTGAGCCGAGGTTCCCAGCCTGGTGGCTGCTCAGCGCGGAGGGCCTCGGCCTCTTGCAGGGCGCCAAGAGCAACGCCCTGGGCTTTGCGCTGCTGAGCCTCGGCGAAGCAAACGTGGAGAGTTTATTTTGCTTGGCTTATTTTGCTTGGTTTATTTTGCAAACGCCTCGGCAAACGTGGAGAAGCAAACGTTTCGGCGTATGTCGGGCGTATTTTTGTGGGTAGGGGGGTACTGTTTTTGTCTTGTTTGTTGGGTTGATTTGGCTGGTGTGCTTGGTTTTGTTTGGGCTTACTTGGGTCTATTTGGTTGGTTCTGGGGGGTTACTGTTCTTCTTTGGGTGTGTTAGGGTTTATTTGCTTTTGGGTGTGATAGGGTTTATTTGCTTGGTGTGTTTGGTTTTGTTTGGGCTTAAACCCAGAGTTTATTCAAGTTAATGTTATTTTTTTGTTGGGCTTACTTGAGTTTATTTGGTTGGCGTGCTTGGGTTTGTTTGGGCTTGTATGCTTGGGTATATTTGGTAGGTTCTGGGGGTTTGTTGGGTTTGTCTGGCTTGGGTATATTTGGTTGGTTGTGGGGGTTTGCTGTTGTTTGTTTGGTTGATTGGGTTTATTTGGTTGGCGTGCTTGGTTTTGTTTGGGCGTATATACTTGGGTGTATTTGGTTGGTTGCGGGGGTTTACTGTTTTTGCTTTGTTTATTGGGTTTAATTGGTTAGCGTGCCTGATGTTGTTTGGGTGTGCATACTTGGGTTTATTTGGTTGGTTGTTGGGGGTTACTGTTATTGTTTTGTTCGTTGAGTTTATTTGGTTGGCGTGCTTGGTTTTGTTTGGGCTTCTATGCTTGGGTTTTGGTTGGTTGGTTGTGGGGGGGGGTTACTGTTCTTTGCTTGGGTGTATTTGGGTTTATTTGGTTGTTGTGCTTGGTTTTTGTTTACTTGGGTTTGTTTGGTTGGTTGTGATGTTGTTTGGGGTTGTTTTTTTCTTTGTCTGGGTGTATTTTGTTTTATTTAGGTTGGCGTTGCTTGGTTTTGTTTGGGCTTGTATACGTGGGTATATTTGCTTGGTTGTGGAGGTACTGTTATTTGTTTCGGTGTATTTGGGTTTATGTGGTTAATTGTTACTGTTTTGTGTTTGGGTTTATTTGGGTTTACTTTGCTCGGTCTGGGTTCACTGTTTTCTTGTTTGGGTTTATTGGTTTATTTGGGTTTACTTTGCTTGGTTTGGGTTCACTTGGTTTCGTTTGGGTGTTTGGGGTTTATTTGGTTGGGTTGGGTTTGCTTGGCTGCCTTTGGGTTAATTTGGGTTTAACGGGTTGTTTTGGTTGGTTTGGGTTTACTTGGTGTTTGGATGTATTTGGTTTGTTGTGGGGGTTTGCTGTTTTTGTTCATTTGGGTTTGCTGTGTTTGTTCGGGTTGGGTTTACTTGTTTTTTTTTTTTTGGTGTGTTTCAGTTTTTGTTGGTTGTGTTGGGCTTGTTTGGGCTTATGTTGGTTCATTTTGTTGGCTTGGGTTTATTTGGTTGGTTGGGGATTTGTGGTCTATGGGTTGCAATGCGCAAGCACCGTGCAACATGTTCGGCGGACAGAAACCCCGACCTAAAGGATGTCCACCAAGGGTTCCCCTGAGTCATACCCAGTTTGAGGTTTCTCAACATGGACCCCGTTCTGTTGGGTATTCAAAGGGAAACAAACGGAAACCACAATGGAAGGGGATTTGGGTGTTGGTTCAAAGGGGAATCAAAGGAAAACAAACATCTTTCTTGGTGTCCCCCATCTTGACACGGGCCCATCTGGGTGTCTTAAGACAAGGGAAACCCAAAAAAGGTGGTTTCCCAATAGATGAGTAGCCTCAACAGCTCAGGGTTGGGCAACATGTTTGGTTAACAAACGGAAACCAACCAACTTAATTAGGGGAGTTGGCTGCGTGTAAGCTCAATGCAAATCAAAAGGATATTACCCACTAAGTTGGGGGGGTCCGAATCCCTACGTCGACATACCGATTGGGGTACCCCAGTTGTTTAGCAATGTGCGTTGACCATCACCCAGCAATGAGGAACGCAACAACTAGCCCATCGTTCAGAGAGTCGGGCCAACCCCGTGTGAACTTAACCACCGTTATTTCAACAACCTCCTCTTGATTTACCTTTTTCAGCGGGCCAGGCTCTGGTTGTTTCACCGGGGTTCAAACTCAACGGAATCTGAACTTCCGCAATGTGCAGGACATCAATCGAAACCACTACCCTCCGGAATATATTTTTGAGGGATAGATTGGGATCACCCAGTTTCCCTTTTACCAATCAAAAAGAGTCCTCACTAACTCACTCCTTGAGTTGCTGGACTTGATCTTTTTGGGGAAATAAAGTTCAGACTGTGTTTGGCCAATCCACTCAGTCAACTGGAGCACCTGTGGGCATTTCACGCTCAGGAACATGATCTCCAAGGGCACATTCACCATGGTACCTCGGCTGCCATAGCCGTTGGGCCGTAGCTGGGAAAAAGTGGAGACTTCGCGTGATTTGTTTCGTTGGTGTTTTTCGGGGGACGCGGTCGGACGACTTGCTTGATATGTTTTGTAACAAAAACACAAGTCAACTCGCAAAACCGGTGGGGACTCCCCTCATACATGTATGGATAGGGGGAAAACGGTCTCCAAGAAAAAGGCCCTGCCCCATACATCAGGGCTTAGGGGCGTGGTTAGGGGAGGTCCATTCAGGGCTTAGGGGAATGGTCCCAAGCCAAGCCGTGCGGGATGGCCGGTCGACCATGCCTTGTTTCATGGGGTGTTTTCCTGTCTTCGGGAGTCTTGTATGGATATCGTTCCCAACAGATAGCCATCATAGGAATAGATTTGCAAAGCGTCGTGAGACTCCTTTCCAAACGAGTGGGCTGAGGGGCCAAAGTTCCCTTGGCCACTTTCAAGCTGAATAAGCCTTCAACAGCGGGTTTCCTATATTTCCTTCTTATTAATCCCAACAGGTGATGTTTAAAACCAACATATGGAGCCCTGAATGAGGCTTGAATGGCAGGAAATTCAGCCATCTGATGCCGAAAGCCACAGGTTTGTTTGGGGTTGTGAACTGACACGGAACCAGACCTCCAGAAATTGGTCGGGAACCAGCGAATGATATGATCAGTTCCTTGGACCAGAGTAAGGGGGCCATGGCAGCTATGAGTATTGCTGACTATCAGCCGTGCGACCTTTGTGCGGCATGACCTCCGTGATTTTGTCATGGATTTCAATGAGTATTGACAAGACAAGAAGCCAGCAGGGATCAAGCATGTATATATACATATATTTATATTTATATAGTTACTTTGTTGTTTCTTCCTTCATGTGTAGGGCGGACCTGGATTCCTGAATTGGGGGGTTAGCAGGAACCATGCCCAATGTGCCACATTTGGGGGAGTTCTTGACCGCGCGTATGGTGACACCCAATGAACCAACCAAAATCCTGACTGCCAGACTTGACTCATCGTTTTTCCCTTTGGCCCTTTTGCAATTTTTGGTGTTCACTCGGTCACCAACAAGTTCTTCACTGTTATTGGCATACATTTAGTTGTTGTTTCATGTTTCTGTTGCACACAACCAGGTTTTTTCAAGCCCATACCAAGGCTTACAAAGCGAGAATGTCCCCTTGCCGTCCGGTCCCGCCCGTGTCTTTCGGTCGGGACGCCGGACGCGAGGTGATGCTGGGCGTGGGGCCGCAGTACAAGAAGGACTTCGGCCAGGCGCTGCGCTCCAACACGGCGGCCAAGCTGCCGGAGCAGTTCTGGCTGGTGAGGCGTCGCGGAGAAAAGGAAAAAACACTTCCCCAGAATTTGTTCCCTTCTTTGATTTTGTTTTCTTTTTTGGGGTCCTCTTTGTTTTCCACTAGCCAGGCAAAACAGTGTGTTTTTTTGCTGGGGTCCTAATTCCAGCCAAGAAAAGAGCCAGAAACGAGGTGGAGAGTTCGGTAAACTATCACCAAGGTATGTACATATACGGTTATATTCATACAACATTAATATAATGTTTAGTTATTTTTCATAGGATAGTTTGGTAAACTATCACCAAGCCCCCTCCAAGGGTGGCTTGTCCATGTGTACCTGCAGTGCTTGTGAGCAATTTTGGGTACAAATGGACCACCCTTGGAGAGTGCTGGAGGAAAACATGTGAATTCGCGCGCGAGGTGTTCGAGCTTTGGACTTTTTTGGGGGATGTGTCTGAAAATGGTGGACCCTCCTTTTGGTGTTCCACCAAAATCGGAAGTCGAAAAAGGGAAAAACGTTTGGGAGCTTCTCAAAATGGGTCTACTCCTAAAAAAAGACAGACTTTCAAATGGTGGAACCCCCCCTGTTTTGATGTTTGAAGACTCTGCCATTTTAGGAAACTGTTTGAGGAAACACCCATGAATCACAATCTCTGTTTGTATCCCAGATGTGAGTTTCTGCTTCAACCTCTGGGGGGGTAGTGCAAACCATCTTGGGTTGTTTGATCTGGGTTTTCCATTTGGAAATCCTCGTATTCACATCCCCAGCAAAACATAGGCACTGATGCAAAAAGATGATGAGAAGTTCCTGGAGCATAAACTCGGCATGCCGATTTGACGCACACTTCTTTGACTTGGTCCCTTTCCGGGTTTGGACATGCATTATTTGCAGATGGCCTTTGAAGGGACGAAATCCATTTCGCACCACGAAATGAAATCATGGTTGAAGCCATGGCATGTGGTATTTGCGTTGGAATCGAATCCGAAACCGTTGGGTTTCTGAACGGTGCGATGTCCGGAAGTTGCGTCCACAGGTGGCCTTTCAACCAAAGGAAGCCGCGTTTGTGCAGGCCTTCCCATGGGCTTAGAAGCGGATTGAAACCTAAGCACCGCGGGGTCAGACTGTGAAGTTGGAAACTAGGTCCCCCAGTAGCCTTTTCTTGGGGGAGGGTTCCCCTACTAAAATAGACTACAGAGAAAAAATCGGGCACCCTTATTCTAACCTCTCTGGAGGACCCAGGGAAAGCTCGTTTGCCCAAAGCGCACATTTGCCCTCAAGGCCTTTGGCCATTGAGGATATTGGGGGTGAAGTACTCCGAACGATTTTGAAGGGGGATCTGCCACTGCTCAGGCCTTGAAGAAATATGTCGAGTCAATCTCAAACCATGGTGAGAAGGTAGCTTCAAAGATGGTTCCATGTATCGTTTTAGGAGCACAAGTATTTACCAGGTAGCTTGCCTTGGGCTCGGTCGAGTCGATAGGTTTTTTGCCGCATCCGGTACTGACATGCGTTGTTTCCTTGCTTCCCGTATCGGAATAACCAAACAACAGTCTTTATTCCCGAGGACTCATTTGCGCTTGGAAGAATCCATTTATGTTTGGAAGGGGTCACACCCATGTTTACGGAGAATAAGCAAGTCACTCGACTCTTTTAAGCGATTTCGCTCAAATTCTGTTTCAACACCGCAAGGAAGAACCGGTTGGGCACTCACAAGCACAGCCTTTCGATTTTCCAACAAGCACCTAGAATAGGGAAGAACCACCAAATTGGTTTAAAACATTGTTTAATTCACCACGAAGGTCCTGAGTTGACCAACTTTTTAGCGTCCTGTCTAGCAGGGAACCAGGAGAAGTTGCTTCAAGCGTGAAGCGAAGAAGCTACAATTCCTGGGTTCCTACAACGCACAAGGAAGGAGTCCAAGCTTGCCTCCAAACATGATTCACTACCAAGAGCTCCGTGCTTTTTCCGGAAAGAACATCATAATCAGGGAAAGCACCGCGCCCCAGGAGTTCTGTTGTTTTCAGGAAAGGAAACACAAGATAAAGCGACAGCACCACATTCCTATGTGCCCTTCCAAGTGATGGATCGCTTCAGGTTCCTGAAGTCCTACGACTCTGGGTCCCTGCCCGATGCCGAGGGCTGCGACCCCAAGTCGCTGGATGAGGCGTTTTTGCTGCTTTGGCGGTCGGCGGGCGATGTTTTTTTTTTTTTTGTTTGAGGGCAATCGGTTCAAGATCAACTGAGCAAAAAGGATGGAGGCTTCAAATTGGCGGGGGGGCGGGTGGTCTCAAAAAGCCACTCACTCCAATTTTGGGGAAAAGGATGGCTCCACTCACTCCAATCGGGGGGGAGTACCCCAAAAAGGATGGGGCTCCGAAATAGGGGGAGTGGGGACTCAAAAGCCACTCACTCTCTTTGGGGGGGCAGCAATGTGGCGGAACTACCCCACAAAAGGGCTGCCTCTTTCATTTTTTCTCAACTGGAGGTCTGGCTGTTTTTCCGTCAAAAGGCATCGCTTTGGAACCATCTCCGGGTGTCCTCCAACATTGGTGGCTTTTAAAACCAGGATACATCCCAAAAGCAAGAGTTCCCATAATAGTGTGATGCGAAATATCTTGCCCCGAAGGGCAGCAACATATCTTGCTTTTTTTTGGAAGGGGTACAACCCTACAGTGACAGTGGACTTGACAGGATCTGGACTGACTGTAATGAAGTTGTTTTTTACCTTTCCAAACCGGCCAACGATCTGATTTCTGAGTTGCGACGGCAGGTCCATTCCTTGTTTCATGTTTCGACAAGTGTTCAATCATGGCATGTAATTCTACTGGAACCGAGCCTTTTTCTCAGTCCAGCGGCAAGCCAGCCCCTTAGATAGGTCGGGCAAATATTGGGGCGTGCTTTTGGCGGGTGCCATGTTCGCATCTTTTTTGGGAACGCAAAAGGAACCGAATATTCTGCGGGTCCAGATCCCGTGACATATCTGCCTTTCCGGTTTTCTCGTTGCACGAACAGCGCGAGGAGCCCGCAAAGCCAGAGAAGGTGTCGCTTGAGAGGGAGCCCGAGGCGCTTTGGCTGGAAGAAAAGGGGCCGAGGTGGCGCCGCTTTTCGGTACCACCGCTCCTTTCTGCTGGGACCAAAGAACACAGGGGATCTCACGTATGGAAAGGGACAGCGCTTGGGCCTGAAAAACACAACTGTTCATACTTGCTGTGCAAAGGTTTGTCCACATTGAATTTTCTCGAAAGTCATTTCAATGGGACTCAGCCGCTAGGCATATCTCCAACCGCTGCTATATTTTCGGCAACAATGCCTCATGCGAGATGGGGTTTGCGAAGATCCGTCGGTTTGGCCTGCAACCTGCCCTCCTCTCAGAGCTTGGCTTCCTCCACATCCTGACTTTTCGCTGTGCGAGCACTAAGGATTTCCCTCTGGGCGTGTCCCCTTTGGGGAAGGAAAGGAGTTTCCTATTGCACCCTGGCACTACACTTTGGGAAATTACCCCAAATCCAAAGAATCCGACATAATATCATATGGTTTTATTTAGAAGGCTGGACATATGGTGAATGGACGAACTCCCGCACCACTTTGAAGCCATTGGTATAGGGGAATCATCCCTGCGTGTTTGACCGGTGCAAGACTCGCGGATTTCGCAACCCCTTGGAGGTCCACAGGAACATCACCCACTGAGGGCCTTTTGCTGAGACACGCGAGACCCGTCTCAACTGTTTGGACAATGTGTGAAGAGAGCTTTTTCACCTGTTTGGGGGGGTGGGGGGTTTGGCCAGCTTGTTTTTGCATAGAAGTCTTTGCACTGACTTTTTAATTTTTACTTTACTCACTCCCCGAGTTGCCGGACTTTAAGCCCAGAGATTTAGAGGTCAGGTGACGCCTATAGCTGGTTGTATTACCGAAGACTCAGCCGAAGAAAGGCAAAGGCTGCCTCGAGACACCCATCAAAGCGGAGAGTGTGAATGTGAACCCCTGTGAACCCCTACGGTTTCATTGCTCAAGTAACCACTAGGTGACTTATTTGCGGGAAAGTGAACCAGGTGAACTTCTGTGAACCCTACTTTTATGAGTTACGGAACCATAAGCTGTGGCGTAATTATGGAAAAACGGCAAGAACTCTTCTCGGGTTGGATGCGGTTCACTTTGGGGCCCTTTGGCTCTTGCTCTGTTTGCACTTTCAGCCAACTTTATGCTTGTTGTCATGTGCAAGTGGGGGAGTGTTCAGCAATTGAAGTTGGCCCCTTTTGGATGGTGTTTGAGGAAGAAACAAAACATACCGGAACAACATGTTATTTGGCGCGGCCTACTGTGGATGGACGAAATCCTGCACCACCTAAGAAACCCTGGAATGATGATTCCCCTGTAAATACCAACCAAGCGAGGTTTCGCGTGGTTTCAAAGTGGTGCAGGATTCTGTCCATCCACAGTATTATTAGAATGGAAGGCCCAAGATGAGCACATACACGAGAATCTTCGCGCAGCTTGGGTGCTAGCCACAGCCATAGGACTTGAAAACACTTAAATTGGTTTTTGAAACCACCAAATACCTCGACATTGGCTTCCTGTTCTGGGTTGTTTTAAGGACTACTTGTTCGAAAAAACATGATATAAACAAAATAGCAAACCAACAACAATAATAAGAATAATGATAATGATCGCAAGAATAATAACAAAACATCCCATTTTTGTGTGGCCCTTGACACCTTTCGGGGAGCCTAAAGGGAAATCGGGTCGCGAGGCGCCGGCGGCTGAGCCGGCCGAGCCGGCCGAGCCGGCCGAGCCGGCGGCGGAGCCAGCGCCCGAGGTGGCAGCGGCAGGCGGGCTCCTGAGCACCTGGGTTTACCCCAAAGCTTCCCCAGAATGAGTTCCCCTTTTGTTTTTTCTTTTTTGGGGTCCCTTATGTTTTCCACGAACCAGGCAAACCATATATTATTGTGCTGGGGTCCTAATTCCAGGCAAGGAAGGTTCTGAAAGTTGACCCCGGATTTGTAAACCCCTTTGTATATTTTTGTTGTTCCCCTCCAAAAGCTTCCTTTTGCTTCAGAATATGTTTAATGTTCCCTTGTAGGTTTTAACGGGAATCTATCACTACTGGAAACATGTTTGTATTTTTTCCGTGGAGCTTAAGCAAATGGAAGAAAGTTATGAATCCTCCACTAAAACCAGGGACACGCCCATATTAACAAACAGGGACTTAATCCGGGGTCACTCCCGTGAAGAT